GCAATGTTGCACGCCCTAGGCGCAAACAGGATGTCCCAAACACGAACTTACGTAAACAAGCGCCAAACCTAGGCATGACTCACTGTAATGTAATTACGTACGGAAATTATTTCTTGCTTATGCATTTTCCACGCAAACAGTTAACTAAAGAATTACATTCCTATGTGTACACGAGGCATTCCTAATTAAAAATATAGATTTATGACTAAATAATTACTGTCCAAAATAGTGTCTTTTGACTCTGTCACACATACAAACTCTGGAATTTTATTCTTTCTCTGACCCCCTATCCCCACTCCTTGGGAAATTCCAAATTGCTTTGTTGGAGGGGGGAACATAAGGATAATTTCTGGAACTACACAATATCAAATCATACAAATAACAAAACCAAATAATCAACAATGATGTAAATTCTTTATTTTTTTGCACATTTCAAAAAAATAATAGAGATTCCCCAAATGTAATAGAACATAAATTATTTATACCACTATGAAAAAATGTATCATATGCAGGAACTTCAAGGTCTTATTAATAAATTAATATGTACATAGATCATTACTTAAATGATGGAATACTCTCAAAGTTATAGCCCCTTTCTCCTCTTGTAGCCCTGTAGATGTATATAATATGGTATCCTGAAAAAGAGAGAGAAAGCATATTCAGATTTTTTATTCATTTTTATTTTATTTTTTATGAAGAAAGATAAGTTTAACATATATTAGCAAGAAAAAACCCAACACATATATAGAAAAAGTACAATGGCGATTACATCGTGGGAGATTACATTTAACATATTAGAAAGATGTCTTTAATATTGTTGGACACTCAAGAACGGTTTTTGATTTTGCTTTAAAGTTAAATGTGGAGAACCACATAGAAAAATTTACTTTATCAGACTCTGAAGTAAGTTGTTGGAAAAGCTGTGAGGAAATCGAAAGCAGATTTTGACATTGGGCGGCATATTGGGGACAGTGTGAGAAATAGTGAGAGATGGATTCAACAGATATTTGGATTCTTTTGATGGATAAGTGCAGAACTCCAGCCTAGAAGATTACAATGTTGGGTGAGATGGAGACAGACCCTGTAAATATAGAGCATTATGAGAAAGGAAACAGAGGGAGGGAAGGTTAATGCACTTGTATCTGGTCGACACCATTCTTAAAGCAAACACATACCTCCAGGGATGATGCAAATAGCAGCACATACAAAAAATATTATTGCTTTGTGATCTAACAACAAATTTCAAATAGAAATTATAAATATTCAACTAAGACTGTTTATAATGGAGGTTTAATAGACTTTAAATGGGTAGTTTAATTGTAATAACACTTACTGTTTTCCTCATCTTGTTGCACTGAAGCAAGGGCTATTCCAGCAATGAGAAAAACTAAAGAATCAACAACAAAAATACATATAATGAATACACAGTATGAGAAGCATAATTCTCATACTCATTAATAATTCATGAGTAAACCAGCCAATCAATGGGCTATTTTTAGGTCACACGATGTTACTTGAAACCTGGTAAAGTGCTGTGAAAGGAATGCATTCAGTCTGGAGTAACTGGAACAAAATTAATTTTGTTCCAGTTACTCCAAGTCGAATAATTAATGAGATGAGAAGTCATTTCAAAGCCTCCAATATCGGACTGGACGGGATTTCAAGTCCGCGCAATTAGTTCCAGTCCTCAGCTGCGCCTCGCACTGCAACTAATTGCTTTGACTTGAAATCCCGTCCAGTCCTCATTGTCGGCTTTGAAATATTACATCATGCTTACACTAGCTCTACTACTATGTCTCTACTAAGAATTGCCTTGGCAAGAAGGCTAAATTACTCCATTGAATATTATATTTCATAAGTTCAAATTTTTAAGAAGTTTTTATTATTTCAAAGTTCCACCAGAACTTTTGAAAAAGTAACAACGGTCAATAGTCATGCCTTACCAAATCCTGCAAGGAACAATAAAAATGCAGCAGTAACAGTTTTACAATTTTCTCTGACTCTTGGATGTCGTAACCAACTGAAACAGAAAATGTCAGACTTAATATAATACAAAAGTCTAGTCGTTCTGGCAGCGCTTTTGCACTAAATGGGGACACTTCACTCACACACGCTCCCAACACATTCAATGTTTTATGCACAACTCTCAACACACATGTTGAACACTAATATTGATTGGACTGTAGACCAGAGAACTCTAAAGCAGAACCCTGCAAAGGTCTTTTGGGTAAGTTCCTGAAGTCCCCTGGGCACTATATCTGTGCAACATGTCCATTTTGTAGGGGAGGAATCAGGACAGGAAAAATATGCCAAAGGTATTTTAAAACTGGTTTACCACAGGTAACCCAGTGGCTGAATGGAGATCATTGCAAAATTCCAATGGCATCAATTTACTACCAATACCAAAATACTTTGTGAGTCTTCTTTCTTATTCAAATTTGTATAATATAGTCAATAAGAATTGAATAAATAAAATGAAGTAACTTACAACAATTGCTCTGATTTGTATTCATCAATATTTTCTTCAGATCCAAACTCAACTGAAGCTGTTGTGCTTAAATAGAAAAAAATAGCCTTATAATATAAAGTGCTTATAATATATTATCACATCTAAGTCGTTATGGATTTATGTTTAAAACACATTGCTTACCTAAAACTTGCTGATGAYGAACGGCCTTCATTAAGTAAAGAGCTGGAAGCTTCATCCTGTTGTACAATCAAGATCATGCATTTGAATGAAAGACTGTCTGTTTAGTGTCTGGACATGAATAACTGACAGGTAAGTCCTAGGAGTCATGAATATTGTGTATTCTGTCTATATTATTTTCACCATATTCTGAGCTTATATTATAATTAAAATTTAAGGTAACTAGCACCGAGGTCCACAGGAGCTCATTTTGAGGGGAAATAGACTCTGCAAGTAGGATGTCATATTGTTGCACAGGCATGTGGTAACTTAGCAATGCTGTCAAAATTATCCATATGATTTCAACAGTTGCCTAACAAATTAAATTTGTTTAATATGTACATGACTGTGTATCTGGTAAAAAAAGGTTTTGACTGGTTTGTTTATTCCTGATCATGAATTGTGGCATCAAAAGTAACATTCTAACTTGGCTCCCAGTCTAAAGAAGGGAGAGAAAGATAAGAGACTGGGCTCACAGGGGAGACCACATGCTGTAGAAACCCCAATAAACATTATAATATGGAGAACTAATATTAATAGCATACATTAGCTACTGATGTAATTTACCACTAAATCAGGATTTTAAAACACCAACACACAAATTATAATAATTAATAGGAAGGTATGACCTAGCTAGAGTAATAGATGTATAGATATACCTAAAATATGATTAGAATGAGATCTTTTAGCATGACTAAAACCAGCTATCTCTAACATCTGCTAGTTACTACGATTGACTCAAACAAACATTCAAAATGTGAATATCATTGCAGCCTTTTTGATTCTTTGTGATAATAAACCTGAAAAACATAGTAGGAATGTGCTAGTCATCTATATAAATCTATAGCTTACATCCTAGATATTTGTATTTATATAATATCTCAATATTTCCATTAAAAAAAAGATTTCCAACCTTTGCAGCTGAGGTATTCATCAGTGTTACAACCTTTCTTGATAAACCAGTTGTTAATTTGGCCTTTCAAAAGTCAAGACAACCATTTGTTTTACCAAATATTCCTTCTTCTTTTACTTGATGAAGCAATGATAAAATTTATAATAATTTAGACTGAGTTCTCAACGAGCAACAATGTCTGAAGAATTTGTATATCTGAGTCCAGATGCAAATACAAAAATCAATATTCATTCAAAAGAAGTAATAATTATTCAAAAGAATTTTCCTTAGAAGGAAGTCCACCTTATTAATAATTAAAATGGATTACAAACTTGTACCAATGATAAAAAACAACTTCCACATTATTTTTCTATTCATAGATTGTGTAGTATAATACTGAGCTAATAACTGGTGCTGAAAGCAGCTCTAGCTTTGGCTACAGTACATTCATTCATTCTTTATTTCATAAATATTATTGCAGTCAAGCTTGGCAGAGTTTAATGAGGAAGAATATGCATACGGGTATTTGTCTGTCTCAACCACACACAATTAAATAAGAATTTCAAATAAAATTTCAAATAAAATAGATAAAACCACAATTACCCATCATAGTCCTAATGCACCTATCAATGTCTTGCCCCAACGGGGGGAGCCTGGGGATACCCAGGGGCTAATGACATCCTTGAAAAAAAAAAGAGCCCCTTTTAAGGGCCATATAAAAATGTTTTTTTTGAGGGTTTTACTTTGAAAACGAAAAAAAAAGTGTCAATAAAAGCCTAGCAGCCCCTGTCACGGGCAAGGTTCTTATGTCAATAGCCCTTGTATGCCTGGGCTCCCCCGTTGGGGCAAGACATTGATAAGTGCATAACATGGTAAGACATAACAAGAAGGACAGTATATAAACATATACAAAGGAAAAGTAATGTGCTGCTGTTTATGCATACTGTTAATCACGAAGAACAACTACTTGGCTGTATGGACTTATTAATTCCATCTTTCCTAAGACCTCCCCTGCGAGAACGACTGGTAAAAGGATGCCATTTAATAATAGAACCTAGACTTGGCAGTGCGACATATTTACCTTTCTCTCTAGTTTATATCGAGTTTTTGTGAATCCTCCGGAGCCAAGATCTCGTTCATTTGACGATTTTTTTTTGCTGTATTTTGTAATCACATCAGGTACAGCTTGGTCGTCACTGTCGTCAATATTATCATAAAACTGGTCTTTCTGTGAGTGATTCGAGGCCATTAGTGAATAGCACGGGCGTTCATCTCCCTTATTCTTTTTTATAATCAACTTTTGCTGGGAAAAAACTGAATTACAGTAAAAAGGTAAACTTCTTTCAACTCGTTGAACTAAAACATCATCTTGTCAAAGCTGCGTACTAGAGCCCAGTTTCTACGCGGCGAATGATTAGAAAAAAGAGGGAGTGGTGGGAGAGGTAAAGTTTGACAAGGAAAACTTTAAATTTTCAAGCTGCTAGATTTTCATATAAGATACAAATGGTTTTATTTTTATTACACATTTACTTTTTCCTGCATGCTAAACCTACCTAAGTAACTGTCTACCTATCTATTCAAAGATTTAACTGAAGGTATGATACATGACTCATCAAATTCTTTTCTTAAATTTATTTTCAATTTTAAATCTATTGAGTCACATTTTTATATTGTAAAGTGTCTTTGAACTTAAGGATATCGACACTATATAAATTATTCCTTATTATTCCTAATTATTATTGTGACTTGAAATAGTGGCCTGGGCTGCCAATGGTCAAAATGCAGTTCAGATTTTACTACTGACAACCTAAAACAATATTTTGAACTGCCAAATGAAAAATACAATGGCAGGGCAAATTTTGCTCCATCAAAATTATTTGTCCTGCCAAAAATCAAAAGCTGTCTAGCCATTTTTTATTTGAGCCTTTAATTAAGGGGGCAAATTTAAAATAGCACTTTCCCCCAGTGCCAGGGGAAGATATGCTGTTAAAATTGCTGAAGTTGTTGCTGGTTTAAAAAGTGATGAAGCATGCATTCAATTTACTGTATCCCCATGCATTCACCTTGTTAAAATTAGTGTGCATTAATTATATCCCCATTGTTTTATGTCTTCATTTTAATATAGAGGTGCTCTTTTAACTCATTTCTGTTGTTCACTTTAATATGACTTTTTACTTTAGGGGGTAGGGTTATGTGACCTGTTGTTGCAAAAGGCCCAGGGGGGGGGGGAGGTACTCCCCTATATTTGCTATACGGGTACGTGCCACCAAACAGAGTATGGTTTTCAGCGATTCTACTCAGCTGGAACAGGCTATAAGAATAGCGCTCGCTCTGGGACAGGGTATATGAAATCATGCTCTCTCCTTTCTGGAACAGGGTATCCATTTTTGCAATACCGGAACAGGGTATGATTTTCAGCGATCTTGCTCTGGAACAGGGTATGAATTTCAGCGATTTTACTCTGCAACAGGGTCAGGGTTCAGAGGGCTCAGCGGCACATCCCTACCCTAAACGGGCAAGAGTACCCCCCCCCCCCATCCTGTCCCATGGGTCTGGGTACAACACTTTAAATGATCTCTACCAGTTACTTCTTTTTTCCATACCAGAAACTAGCTCCTCCAAGAAGAGTCATCATGACTCCCAACCAGCTCAAGACAGTTACATTGTTACCAAAAACAATAAGAGATGCAGCAATACAAAGCACAATTTTTATATTACCTAGTATGTGTATGGTAACAGCTGAAGCTTGTATGCTAACCAGAAAACCAAAGATGTTATAGCTAAAAGCTGATAAACAGCTAAGAATAACAAGACTGATAACCTTGGGATGAGGAACATGTAACTGCCATAGTTCTAACATGATGTGATACTCCAGAAAAAAACCAAGAACAAACAGAATCAAAAAGCTGGGAAAAGACATTAGGTACAATAAATAAATAGTTGTTTCTACACATTCTCCCTTTAACAGGTATTCTTGCAGTAAGCTTTTCAAACCGCGTAACAGGGTTGACATTACCGCACAGATGAAACCAAAAAGTACAAAATCAAGGTCGCCAATGGTGCTGAGGACAGCCCCTCCAAGTAAACCTGCCATGGAATACCATGAAAGTGATGTGTACTTGGATCTGAATTTGTCTGGCATTAGTATCATCTCGATAAAAAAAGTTGCTACAGGGGTGAGTGAACTGATCATCTGGATTAAAGGCAAACCAAGATATTGAAGAGCGACGTTTCCTAAAGCGATACTTAGCGAGAAGACGGCACTGAGGGCCAGAATTTTAATCCATATTCTGCGAGGAATGTTAAATAGAGCGTTTTGTCGGTTCGCAGGACTTAACAACATATGTCCAAAAACAAACGACGATAACATATGAAGAGAAGTCAGCAGGATCGGGAATCGTAAACCCTCTAACTGGAATAAGCTCTTGTTTACCACACTAACTAGAGTGTTTGAACAAAACCAACCAAGAACTACAGCAGTCGTAATGAATGCTCCTCTGAAATCCAAAGATGTTTTGCCCTTGGGAGACATAATACCGATAATACGTACCATGCTGCCTCACCGTGTTAACTTTACGAAGTCAAATAGCGAACAAGGAACTTGATATTAGACGTGAATAAGGCATATGGAAAGGAGATGAAAAACGAAGTACTCGCGCATATTATATGCTACCGAATCATTTCTATTAATAACCCATGCCACATATAAGTGGTTAACTTATAAAACCTTATATTTCGTACGTTTATTATCGCATGCCAAAAATGTTTAATGTCGGTCTGAGGATAGTGGAGATAGATAAGAACAATGAAACTATTACAGTCGTGACACTTTCGAAAAGCCAGTCCTTCTCTCATTCCTGCCCAACAAATACTAGAGTACAGACCAGAGTACATACAGACGTCTAGTACTAGTAGTACTCTGGGCGGGATTCCTGATTGCTACGCTCCTGGTAACCAGGCCTTATCAAGATGGCGTCCTCGAGTTCTGAAGAAGATGAAGAAGAAAGAAAAATAATGGCTGAGATTGCGGGCTGTGCTGCTAAAGGTACCTCCAGGCTCATAGGAATGACTCAATTTGATCGCTTTTTTTATTTATTTACCTTTTTTAACAGACTTAACCGAGGCCCACCTCGTAATTAAACAAATGGAGAGAGAAAATATAAAGAAATCCGGGAGGTATGTATACAGTATGTATGCAGGGCTGTCAACTCTCCCGGATAAACCGGGAGTCTCCAGATTTTGGACCGTATCTCCCGGTCTCCAGATTAGAGTATCAAATCTCCCGGATAATCCCCGAAGCTGGCCATTTCTTGTCTTGTGAGACTAGACTTTCACAACCATAAAATTCCAATTATTTCATGTTATTTGTGTTATTTTACATCGCTAACAAAATCAAAACGTTCCTCATAAACTGTTCTTGCAAGCAGGCCATTGTAATATAAG